GCTGCCCATGGAAGTGGTGGAGTCACCATCCCTGGAGATATTGAAAAGACAGGGAGACATGGTGCTGAGGGACGTGGGTTAGTGGTGGTTTTGGCAATCTAAGGTTTACAGTTGGACTCGATGACGTAAAGGGTTTTTTCCAACCTCGATGATTCTATAATCCACGTGTCTTTTTGAGGCCAGGTCTCTATTTTCCTGCTCTTCTCCTTCCCAAGTCCATTTTGTGCTGGACACTCCTATACAGGAGTTGATCTCACCTCCTTGGCCGGAGGCTCTGAAGAGCTGCTACCCTGGCAATGAATGATGTCCTTGCCTATGACAGGGAAGTTGGACCAGATGATCTTGAGAAGAGAAGACTTAGGGGAGATCTAATCAATGCTTACAAATACTTAAAGGGAAGGTGTCGGGAGGACAGGGCTGGTCTTTTTTCGGTGGTGCCCAGTGACAGGACAAGAGCAAATGGGCACAAACTTGAGTATAAGAAGTTCTACCTAAACGTGAGGAGGAACTTCTTTACTGTGAGAGTGGTAGAGCACTGGAACAAGCTGCCCAGAGAGGTGGTGGAGTCTCCTTCTTTGGAAACATTCAAAAGCTGCCTGGACAAGTTTCTGTGCAACGTGCTGTAGGTAGACCCCCTCTGGCAGGGGGGTTGGACTAGATGATCTCCAGAGGTCCCTTCCAACCCCATATGATTCTGTGATTCTATGATCTTGAAAGGTCCTTTCCAACCCAAACCATTCTATGATTCTGTGATTCTATGCAACATACGATTTTGGAGTAAGGGCAGAGCCTGAGTGTTGTTCAGAGATGACTCTACTTTCAAGTTGCCCATTGGGTTGTAGACTTCCTTGCCACTGAAGATCCTTCAAATAGAGGGGGAAAGTCATAGGAACTAGGGTTTTTTAATGAATTTTCAGTGGAAAAGCAGTGCTGTCGCTGCACCGTCCCCCCCATCGAGCCGATGTCCATGTCCATCTGGATCCCAGCCCTCCTGCTGCTCAGCGCCATCCCCAACCTCCAGCAGATGAGCTCCTTGCTCTGCTGCCGACTTCAACGACTGGCCCCAGGCATCGGAGCTGCTGAACCCTCCTGCCCTTTCAAGGAGAGAGCTCCCAGGGCTCAGCGGGGCTGCCGCTTAATCCCAAAGGTCATCATGACGAGCGTCTGCCATGCCCTCAAAGTCAAGTTGCATTAAAAGGGCAAGAGCTCACCTACATCCCCCCTCGTCAGGAAGATGCATTTTTATAAACAGGCGAGAATGATCATGCTGAAACCCCAACTGTGTGTCTTTTCCTGGGGATTTGTCCCCTTTTCTTCCAAACTTGTGCAAAAGGGGGTTCACTACGTCCTGAAAGGAGGTTGTAGAGAGGTGGGGGTTGGTCTCTTTTCCCAAGGAACAGGCAATAGGACAAGAGGAAACGGCCTCAAGTTGTGCCGGGGAAGGTTTAGGATGGATATTAGGAAAAATTTCTTCATGAAAAGGGTTATCGAATATTGGAAGAGGCTGCCCAGGGCAGTAGTAGAGTCACCATCCCTGGAAGTATTAGGAAAAATTTCTTCATGAAAAGGGTTATCAAATATTGGAGGAGGCTGCCCAGGGCAGTAGTGGAGTCACCATCCCTGGAAGTACTGAAAAGCCAGGCAGATGTGGTGGTGAGGGACATGGGTTAGTGGTGGGTTTGTCAGTGTTGGGCTGCTGGTTGGACTTGATGATCTGTATTGTCCCTTCCAACCTCAACAATTCGATGACTATGAAAATTTGAGCATCTGTGATCTGAAAAGTCCCTTCCAACCTCAACAATTTGATGACTATGAAAATCTGTGCTGTCCTGTAGCCAGGAGGTTTGCAGCTTGGGTGCTCAAGGGTAGGAGGACCCACGTAGGGAAAAAACAGGCTCTGTCTTTGCTCATGGAGAAGGTGAACAGGCAAATGGGTCTTGGTGTTGTGGAGCCTTCATTGCGCTGTATGTGTTGCGTTGGGTCTTGCCATGGGTGTCATCGCGGGGTGGTGCCAAGGTGGGCTCATCCTGAGGGGTAGGAGGAAGCACCCTGAGTGGGAGTGGGTCCCCCCAGGGAATTGTGGGGCCAAGCAGGGCTCCAAGACCTTCTCCCACCCTGCATCCCTTGAGATATGCTGGGATGAGCTCTCTGGGTCACTGAGTGTTGGGAACAGTTGGAGATTAGAGAGAGGCTGTTCTTTCTCTCCCACTCCAGCCAACATTCCTGGCCATACAGATAGAAATCCCACCCGAAGGTGTCTCTTCTGCCTTGTCTGCAGCTCATCCCACCTTTCTTGATACCGAAAAGGGACATTTCCCAGCAGAAAGCTTTGTCTGGAGGAAGCTGTGGAGCACTGCTGACGTCTCCCACTGGCACAGCTGGTGGCTGTGGGGACAGCTGTGAGCATTGCTGCTTGGAGTCACCAGAATTACAGGCTGGAAGCACAGAAGCAGTTTTAGGGGTGAACATATTGATGCCATCATTTTGCCAGCCCCATGCTGTGGCCACACTAAGCTTCCTTGGACAGGAGAGCATCAACCAAGTTCATTTCCAAGCCCTGAGCAGGCCAGGTTGAGCTCCAACCCTCAGCTGCCTTCATCAGGAGGGTGGTCCAGGCAGAGATTCCAAAATAAGTCCTAAAAGTGATTTGTTCCTGCTATTCCCTGTTCCTCCCCAAATCCCAAGCATGTCTGGGACAAGAAAACCCTGTGTTCTCTCCAAAACCAGCTTCTCAAGCTCAGTTAACCTCTTTGGGACCATCCTTCTGGGATGCCCTCTTTGGGACATCACCAGCTTGAGGGTAGATCATTGTTGTTGAGACTTTGGTGGTTTGGGTCCGTAAAATCAGGCTCTTGGAAGGCTGTGAGTGAGTGTGTAATGTCTCCCAGAGGATAATATTATTTTTAAATAGTATTTTGGAATGGAACAGTGTTTTGATACAGAGAAGGAAGCACCTACACGTCCTTCTCTTCCTTTAACAATGTGTTGGTGCCACTTGAAGGAGCTCAGCTCTGAGAACTTGTCCTCCCCGTGGGGCTTTTGCTGCCTTTCCCAACGTTCTTCTCCTTTTCCCTTGCAGTGCAAGAAGAAGCACACGCTGGTTTGTCCCGACTTTGCCAAGAAGGGTGTTTGCCCCAAGGGTGCCCAGTGCAAGCTCCTGCACCCTCAGAAGAAGCGCCACACAAGAAAGGCAGAAGATGAGGACCGTGGTGACCCTCCCTCCAAGTGGAGACGGGTCTGGGAGGAGACAAGCAGGTAGGAAAGAGCAGAAGAAACACGCTTTGCTGCTCTTCAAAAGTTCTCTTCCCATCCTCTTCCAGATGTGTATCCATCTGCCTGATGGTTTAAGACTTTGCTGATGTGGGTCACTGTGGTGCCTTCTTGGTAGTGCCACCATGGGCAATAGGGTTGGGGAGGGTCCATGCTTGAGGGAGAGGTCTCCAGACAGAGCAGATGGAGAGGAAAGAGAGGAAAACATCTTGCTACCTGATGTGTGCCGTTGGAGTGTGTGTATCTTCACCCTTATGTGCTGCCCAGGGCTTTGGCACCTCTAGGTATCTCGGGGGCTTTTGTAGACCTTCCTCTTGGGAGATGGAAAAAGCCTGATAGAGACTCCACCACCAAAAGTGGGTACAGCTTATCCATAGCTTGGTGGGAAACTGGAAACCATCATCCCTCTTCCTTTCTCATCTTCAAATCCATGGTGGAGAGCAGAGCTGAGCCCTCAATGTGGCATGGAGGGGCTCACCATCAGGGTGGGACTCACTGCCTGAAGAAGCAGAAATGGAGGTGGACATGGAAATAAAATAGGCTTTGTTAAGCCTTTTGATGGCTAACCCTTGGAAGCTCTCTGAGCTCTCTTTGGGCAAAGACGATGCTTTTGGGTGCTGGGATGGAGCCTGCAGGCTGAGGGACACGTTGGTCCTCATCCCCACAGGGACACAGATTTTCTTGAGCTTGGTGCATCCTTGCCTTCTTCTGCCCTCATCCCTGAGCCCTGGAACGACTCCATCCCGATGTAATTTCAAATATAGTCAAATTGAAATTTGGCTTTAAAAGCCAAAATCTAAGAGTCCTGGTTAACGGGAGGAGAGAACGTTGGCTTGGATGCTCAGCTCTTCCATGGATCTTTGCAGTGGGATGTGGGGATGAAGGTGGGATGGAAATGGGGGGGGTTTGGGGAGTTGTGCTGCTCTGGTCCATACTCTAGCCTGGTCCTGGGTCTCATCCTGGCCCTGCCTTGTAAGGTAGTGGAGGGGGGACGAGCGCTCGGGCGGACTCTCCGGTGACAGAAGAGCCTTGGAATGACACCCAGCTCATGTCCCCCCTCCCCGGTGTGAACGAGGTGTAAAATAGCTCCTTGCTCTTTTTAGGTAAGGAGACATGAGCTCGGGGCTGGGTGGCAGGAGGCACCCCCCCTCTCCCATCCTCTGGCATCCTCCGTGGGGAAAGGGAGCCCTCCCGAGCTTGGAAGCTGCTCGGGAGGTGGGGTTTTTTTAATCCCTTTATTGGCACCGTCGTCGGAGACTTCAGATGAGCTGAAGTGTCACATTCACTGGGCTGGGAGGAGGGCGGCAGGGCTGGGGCTGTGCCAGGACCAGTGGGACATCTTCGAGGCATCCCTGCTCCCTCCATCTCTCCTCTTCTCCAGCCAAAAGGGAGCCCAGCACCTCCAGGAGCATCCGAGAGCTGGAAACCTGGCAGAGAAGCCCAGGGAAGGAGATCCAGCTGGGAAACTAAGAAACTCTGGCTGAATTGGAGCTGGTTCCTATGAAATCAGAGATACGGAGCATCCTGGGGTGGAACTGGGATGGGGCCCAACCTCTTCCGTTGCACATGGTGTTGCCAAGAAGGATCATTTTTATTTTTCCTTATTATTTTTTTCCTCCTGCAGGAATAATCCAGCTCAGGTCCACGATGATGGAGAAATGCCCGGACCTTCCAGCTCGGAGCAAGAAGTGAAGTTTTGGAAAGAGACAGAGACCTCAACAACCAACAAGCTCCAAAAGCTGCCGTCCTTCATCTCCCTCCAGTCCTCCCCCTGCCCCAGTGACCCGGGCTGCAAAGTGGAGAAGGACGAGGAAGAGTCGGAGGACGAGGCAGGTAGGAAGCTCTTGCTCTGCTTTTTTTGCTCACGTGTGCTCACGAGAGGGATATTCCCCTGCTGCTCTTCATGGGTTTTGGTGGGATCTGTGTTCCTCACGAGTCACCAAACCAGTTAAGCTGGGAGTTCAAACTGGGATGGCAATGGAGACTCGCATCCACCACATTTTCCACCTCAAAACCACGCGGTAGGATTTTACCCCCGTCTTTTATCATCATCTCCTTCTTCCTTATCCTATAAATTATCCCATGATGAATTATCCAGTCTCATTCCTGTGATGGAGCCGCAGCAGTTCCTGGTAGGAAGGTGTTTCAGAGGGATGCAGGGATGTTGTTCCTCATCACTGGACCTGGAGAAGGACCTCTGGACCATCCATCACACGCATTTCCCAACATGAAATAGCTTTGAAGCTTTAAAAACATCCCTGGTAAGAAGTGGGACAGGGTGTTTGGAAGTTGGAAGGAAGAGCTGTGTTAGTTTGAGAGGAGCTGCTTTGCTGTTTTTTATTTAAAAGTGGGGGAAGAGGCTTTGGAAATCAGTAAAATTTTTGAAAAATGGAGTTTTAGGACGAGCAAAACTTCTTACAAACTCCAACATGTGAGAGGAAACAGCTTCTAGACTTTTTTTTGAATTTTGGAAAACTTTGGGGAAATGTTTTAACTGTTTGAAATGGACTGTGGGGAAAAAAAAAAAGCAGGAGAAAATTGTTGAAGCAACGAGAAGAAATGTCTTTGTTTTCTCTGCAAAGTGGCTCGTGGTGGAGATTCACTCCATTTCTGCTTCTCCAACATTTTTTCCTTGGTTCCTCCTCTCCCAGTTCAGCTCCTATACTGGAAAATTCCTTAATCACCAGCAGCTCTGAGGGAAGAGACAGGACTTCGGGGCACTCTGGGGATGCGCATGGTGGAGATTCACTCCATTTCTGCTTCTCCAACATTTTTTCCTTGGTTCCTCCTCTCCCAGTTCAGCTCCTATACTGGAAAATTCCTTAATCACCAGCAGCTCTGAGGGAAGAGACAGGACTTTGGGGCGCTCGGGGGATGTCTCCGTAGGGGAAGAGGTGATGGAGATTGAGAGGCAGAGATTGTGCCTCGTCCTTCCCAGTGCTGGATGGGAGGTTTTTGGCCAGATCCAGATCATGCTTCATGTTTTCCTTTTCATCTCCCATCCTTCGCTGGAGGGATGTGCAGCAGCCACATCTCCTGAGCACCACCATAGAAAGGTGGGGGGATAGAATCCGGCTCAGAAACCAGAATGAGCACCACCATAGAAAGGTGGGGGGATAGCATCCGGCTCAGAAACCAAAATATTTTCACAGAATCCCAGAATCTTCTAGGTTGGAAGGGACCTTAAAGATCATCTTGTCCAACCATCAACCTCACTGACAAAAATAGACACCCACACAACAAACAAGGAACATCATCACTAAACCATACCTCCCAGCACTACATCAACCCGTCTTTTGAACACCTCCAGGGATGGTGCCTCAACCACCTCCCTGGGCAGCCCATTCCAATGGCTGAGAACCCTTTCAGTGAAAAAATTTTTCCTAATATCCAGCCTGAACCTCCCCTGGTGCAACTTGAGGCCATTTCCTCTTGTCCTGTCGCCTGTGACTTGAGAAAAGAGACCGACCCCCATCTCTCTACACCCTCCTTTCAGGGAGTTGGAGAGAGCAAGAAGGTCTCCCCTCAGCCTCCTCTTCTCCAGGCTGAACACCCCCAGCTCCCTCAGCCTCTCCTCATAAGACTTATTCTCCAGACCCCTCACCATCTTTGTCGCCCTTCTCTGGACCCGCTCCAGCACCTCAATGTCTTTTTTTATGGTAGGGGGCCCAAAACTGGACACAGTACTGTATTGGGGCAATAAAGATGACATCTGCTCGGCTGGTGGAAAATATGGTTCAGTATGATCCAAAAAAGCTGGAGCATCTCTCCCCATCTTCCATCCCCTGCCTCCTCTGAGCGATCCCACAGCCGGAGCGGGATCCCACTGGGAGAAGGGATGAATTCAGGCGCCGAAAGCCGGGGATGGGGCTGGTTTCCCGCTCCAGCACCTCAATGTCTTTTTTTATGGTAGGGGGCCCAAAACTGGACACAGTACTGTATTGGGGCAATAAAGATGACATCTGCTCGGCTGGTGGAAAATATGGTTCAGTATGATCCAAAAAAGCTGGAGCATCTCTCCCCATCTTCCATCCCCTGCCTCCTCTGAGCGATCCCACAGCCGGAGCGGGATCCCACTGGGAGAAGGGATAAATTCAGGCGCCGAAAGCTGGGGATGGGGCCGGTTTGTAAGTGGGTGCCAAGGATCTGCCAAGCTTTGCCTGGCTCGGCCACGGAAGCTCTTCGAGCCAGGGAGGGCTGAGATGCCTCAACACTGTCAGAAAGAAAATTCCCAGGATTAACAACATATTCCTGAAGTCACAGGCGAGCGCCCGCACTGTCGAACCGTGGCGCGGCGGAGACGCCGAGGGACCCTTCCGGCGGGGAAAGCTCCTCTCCGCGAGGTGGGATGAAGCGCTCGGCTTCCTTTTTCCAGGGATTTCTTCCCCTTTGAGTGCCTCCCTCTTTCCCCTCTCCTTGGCCCTGGTTCAAACTCCCTTTTGATCTCGGCGGCGGGGCCGGGGGGAGCGTTCCCAAAGCGGCGGCTTAATCGGGTTTTTTTATCTCTGCCATGAAGCCGGAGCGATTAATCCGTGAACGAGAAAGCTGTTGAAATGGTTTGGATTGCACTTGGCAGCCTGGAATAACCCAGTCGAGAGGGCAGAGGCATCATCCTGGCAGCGAGGGCATCCTTTTCCTCTTAACTCCGGTTCCTACCTTCAAGGGAGGACGATTTCCAGGTGTTTCGGGTGGGAGGATGAGGAGAAGAAGCTGGTTCGGTCCGGGGATGATGGGAGGAAAGGCTCTGGGGAGCTGGTGGGTACGGAGTCTGGCTGCACATCCCTCCGTGCTCCTTTGCCTGGGGAACACGGGGCATTTGGAAAGGGGATGCTGGAGGATCCGTAGGAAAGGATCAGGGGGATGGAGCACCTCTGCTCCGAGGACAGGCTGAGGGAGCTGGGGTTGTTCAGCCTGGAGAAGAGGAGGCTCCGGGGAGACCTAATAGCGGCCTTCCAGTACCTGAAGGGGCCTACAGGAAGGCTGGGGAGAGCCTGTTTAGAAAGGCCTGCAGTGACAGGACGAGGGGCAATGGCTTCAAGCTGGAGGGGAACAGCTTTAGACTGGAAATGAGGAGAGGGTTCTTCACTGGGAGGGTGGTGGAGCACTGGAACAGGTTGCCCAGGGAGGTGGTTGAGGTCCCATCCCTGGAGATATTCAAGGTGAGGCTCAACGAGGCCCTGGGCAACCTGGTCTAGTTGGGGGTGTCCCTGCTGACTGCGGGGAGGTCGGACTAGATGACCTTTGGAGGTCCCTTCCGGCCTGGGCAATTCTATGATTCTATGAAAGGAAAACTGGGCAGGAATTGCGTATGGATGTAAAATCATCTGATGAGGAAGCAGTTTCCACGCCGAAGGGATTCAGTGATGGCGTGCAGTGAAGTCTTGGGGGGGTAAAAATCCTTTTTGGTGCCTGGTTTTGCCCATGGTCAGTGCTGGGATGTTCTCAGTAATTAAAAGTTTCATCTCAACACACAAACAAAGGGACCCAGGGACACAGCAGGAGCCGGGGACCCCCACAACCTCACGGGAGAAAAGGAGCTTGGACCGTTAACGAGTCGTCACAGGATGAGGCCATTGATGCTGCTGAAGGACCAAACACTTCATGGTGGCCAAATTACAGGACTGGTGCTTATGACTTTGAGGTGCTGTTTTGAGCAGAGATGATGGTCAGGATGGGTCCTCCTGTTAACTCTAGGTGGTAACTGGGGCCTGCGATGGGGTTTGGGGGTCTGCGCCGTCCCTGCTGAAGCCTTTGTACCAAGAATAATATTCGGTTTCTGCTTGTAAAGCCTGAAGGTGACACACAAATTGGTGGGGTAGTAAATAAGGAGGAGGACAGGTTATTATTACGGAGTGATGTGAATTGCTTGGTTAAATGGCCACAATTTGAGAAAATGCCCTTTTAATACTGGCAAAGGCAGGAGGAACGAAGAAAAACACCGGCTCCATGTGCGGGAGGGATGGAGACAGGCTTTGGAGATGACCTTTAAAGACCAGCGTGGGCAACAGCATCAGCTTGAGGGGTCTCGGTGGGGGTTTGCTGCCTCTGGCCTTGGGATAGAGAAAAAGGGGGCTGCAAAGGAGAGATGTGGTCTTCACCTGTGATGTTGAACCCTCTGCTGTCCTCCCATGAGGAGAGTTCCCAAGCTGAAAGAGGAGCCTTGTAATTTGGGGTCGGAGGAGCAATTTGAGGGTCCTGGTGTATTCTGAGCATCCTCCAAAAAGCTCATCTATGTGGCATGTGGAGACCAAACCGCTTCCAGTTGAGCATCCCAGTTAGGAAGGGTGGGCTTGGTGGCATCCCATCCTTCACCTCCTGGTGTTCTCCATCCGGGAGGGCAGAGCCAGAGGGACCGTGGGCTCTCCTACCCCTCCGGCACCCGTTTCCAGGTAATGGGCTTTTCCATATTTCACCTTCCAGTTAAATAGCCTGTGCTGGAGCCTAACTGGCCTCCCCGCGCTAATTGTAAGCAAGCGCACCAATGCAAACCATTCCAATCGAGTGCTAATTTAATTAGAAAGCACCCATTTTAGTTAATTTGTTCGAGAAGATCACTGAAAACTCCTGGAGAGAACAGATGTTCCCCTCTCCCCCGATGAACATTCAGGGGTTTGTAAATGGCTCCGCTCAGCCTTGTTTAGGAGAGAAAAGAGGATTTTATAGCTGCAAACGACCCTTTCTGTAAACATTTTACAGCTCTCTGCACGTTTGAGTGACGATAAACCCCTCGCAACTCGGCGGGCTGCAAATTTGCGACCATACGGCTATCATTTTATTGTCATATTTCACGGTCGTAACGTTAATGGAAGATGCTCGCTACAGTCTTTTTTAAC